TAGGGTATCGATTTTGGCCATTTTGGTTATAAATAGGGTATGGTTTTAGCACTCTAGTCTTGAATTGGGTGTGTTTCTTAGAAGAAGCTACTTTTTCAGCATTATCAATAAGACCGTCAACAAAAGCCCTTCATAACTTATGTACAGGGCAACTGTGCCAGCCGCAACGGTCTTAAATAGGGTAGCAAAAATCGCAGATTTTGGACATAAATAGGGTAAGGGTGTGGGGAAGCAGACCGCGCTTCCCACCCAACTTTTCTGGGAGTACCCGCTCCAGCCAACCCCCCCTCAAGAAAGAGGTAACTCCCGCGGTCTAAGATAATTCAATAGTAAAAGATTCATTTCCTGTTATTGACAATCCACATGACCTTGCTTCCGTTCACTTCTGGGCCCCTGGGACAAGGTTCCATGGACCACGCGGCCAGCAATTAGCCTGAATAGGTCACGTTTCATTGGCGATGTCTACCCGAAAATACGTTTTAGCCATTGGCAATAGGAAGTGAGTTTGCCTTAAATTGGACACACAGTAATCTATGAATTTTTCCCACTGACTCTATTTATTCTTGTTACCTGTTAGCGTGGCAGTGAATTAGCCTTTCTACCGACCACAGGGACAGGACTAACGAATAGCTAATTAAAGGTTCTTCTTCCTATTCTGGATCTTCAGAAGTAGAGTAGTTCTCTCAATAAATCAATTTAAAATGCAAGGCTAGCACTACAGAAATAGACAAGGGCAGATTTATTCATTGCCTCTGTTAAAGGTCCCGTAATACGGGCAACATTTTTCTTAAACTTGTCTCGCAACATTGTTGCATTGCAAGTTGAAACACATTGTTGCGCGTATTACCACGTTTGTGACCAACTTGTCTCGCAGCAAAATACAGTGTTGCAAGTTGAGGCAACATGTTGCGCAAAGTAGACTCGAGTTCTACTTTCTGCAACAAATTTTATTTTTGCTGCTCGTATTACCCCTGAAGCTACAACTTGTATCGCAACAAATTTGAATTCAACGCTTGTGATTGGTTGTCGTGAATCGCGGCAACGCGGCAAATAAAAAAAAAAAACATGGCGGACGGTGAAGACGAGCCTGAATTCGAAGTATACCAGTTACTCTCGGAAAGTCATAAATTTGCCCTGTACAAAGACCGCGAGGGCTATCATAGTCTTTGGTACACCTCGTTTGTCCCTTCAAAACAAGTGGAAAAAAGCAGGCAAAAGGCATTGAAGAACTGTCGCAAAAATACAACTTTTCGCTTAGCTACCTGAAACGACACTGAACTTCATACTGAGAGAACTTCGCTGGCACGGAAAATTAAGAAGAAAATAACGGCCAGAAGTGGAAGTGGAACTTCGTCGAAATGCTAAATTATATTAAAGAAGGCGCCATCTTTATTTACACACGATTAACTAATTATACCGGTAGAATTCCGCAGACTTGCAACCGGACCTTAAATGGCTAAAATTACTGATATCTACTTTCGTCTTTCAAATGTAAATTAGTGAGTAAGTAAGTAAGTATGTAAGTAAGTAAGATCCTTTATTTAAACACGATGAGATTAAAAGCATTACATGCTTGAGGGGTCGTGTGTAACTAATTAATACTTAATTAACCCACAAGTTAAAGTGGATGAAATATGCATAATCAAACTTGAAAGTAAAATACAACACATAATATACTTTTATAATTTAAAATAATATGAAATTTAAAATCAGACATCTTCTTCGCTAGACCGTTAGGTTTTACATAACCTTAGCTCTGTAGCTCAAGAACTCTAATTGTACAAGTCACAACGTGTCTTGTCTCTCTTAGTACAAACCTGTTACTGCAAATTGCTTAAGGTTACCGTAAACCTTTAGGGCACCTTCACAGGTGTCTCGCGTCTAAGCGATGTAGCGCGTCCGGTTTAAACTGTAGATGGCTATACCCTTATATCAAATTAAAGCTTATAGAGCTAGCTAACACACTATACCAAGAATTTTGAAATAAAATGAATTGTTCAAATTTTTCACGAGTTCTAAATGTGAGCTTCCAAATCATATTTTGGGTCCCTTTTGAAAGCTACATGTCAAAGGGAAATTGTTCCTTTGCCCTCAAATTTGAACAGTAGCTAGTTTGATATCTAAAAATCAAGACCGTGTCGGCGAATTTTTTCCCAAATATTTTTTTCTCCGATAGCGATTTTTTCAAGGATTACTCCATGTTTTTTTAATCCTATTTCGAAAATTTTATGTTCCTTTTCACTGAAATTGAATATGCAAATGGTGAACACGTGTTTTTTTTTAGCCCTTTGGGTGCGTTAATTGCTGAGAGACAAATTAGATGAGCGAAAAACAAAATTAATTTTGACTTGTAGCTTTCAAAAGGAGATTCGGACGCTCGAATTTAGAGGTCATAAAAATTTCGACAATTCAATTTATATTAAAATTCTCGATATAGGTTGATAGCCACCTCTATAAGCTCTTATAATTTGATATAGGGCTTTAGGTATCTACAGTTCAAGCTGGACGCGCTACATCGCTTGGATGTGAGACACCTGTAAGGGTATACGGTAACCTTAACAGTATTCATGAACGCACAAGTGAAGGTTCATAGAAATATTGGGCCATCAGTTTTAGATTTCCATTCACGTAAAAATGTTTTTTGGCTTTTGACATTTTCGACAGAAGTCATGCCCATTAAAAACTTAAAACCGAACGAAGTGCGCGTCTTTTAAGGTCTCTTAAGATGCGTACTTCGGTTAAAACAGGTTTATAACAGATGCATTACTCCTGCGTCAACATAACTGTAGGATGCACCAAGCAGACGAAATAACGCTTACCCTTTTATAAGCTCTCGACCCAGTGGTCATGAATAATGAACACTGAAGTGTCGTAAAATTCCCGTTGAGCGATGTTGGTATCAGTTGGTATCAGTTTCTTAATTCGTTGGATGTTGAAAAGTTTAAGACTTACCCTTGATGTTTTCTATTAAAAAAAGCTTTCGTCTGACAGGTTTATTTGGGGTGGGAGAGTAGGTTGTAACCGAGGGCTTGTTATGTATGCTGCGTTTCAAACATGACTGTAATATGCTAAAGGTTCATGATATGAAACACAAAGAAAAGATCTCACGGTTTTGCTGATTGACTATTTACCACCGGAGCCGGGTTGTTCAAAGCCCAATCGAGCTAAGCCCGGATTAACTATAATTTTGATGCAGTTTTGTAACTTTTCGGTGAGGTTTTCTGTTTATATTATTTGTCCTTCAATTTTGAGTTTGAATAATTTAAAACTACACGGAACATAATCAGTGAAAAACATTTTTATACAAGAAAAAATAATTCTTCGGTTAACTTTTAATCTTGTGTTAGCGTTAACAACCTTTCGAACAACACGGTCCCAGGTGATCAGGAGCTCCTGTTGCCAGGTATTTAGCATCTGTGTGCGGTAGTCTATTTTCTGTTTCACATGGTAGACGTCTGCTCGCAGGCTATGCCGCTTTCTGTTTCTGACTTGTGGCTTTTTTTCGCCAAAGGTTTGATTAGGGAGGAAGAATTACTTTTTTTGCCTATAGTAATTCCAGATTGGTTGTAACTCGATTATATAGATCTCTGAGTCATGACGTCTTCGGTGAACAGGGTATATTACAGGGAAATGAACACTTATTATGACTGTTATATCTGACACTGTGTCAAGTTTGAGAGGCACCACCCTATCTAAGTTTCTGTCAAGGAAATGCTAAGTTGTACAATTTTGTAATGAAGTAAGTGTTTTATATCTTGCAGGGTACAGCATTTTTACATATATCTTTACAATGGATTCTTGCAAAGTTACCCGGTGTCATGGGTGCAAGATTAAATAAACAAAATTTAAATACAAAAATAATTAGGGAAAGCTCAACTAAAATGGAATAAAATTATAACAAATAAATGTGGTCAGATCAGAGATGTTGGCCTTCATCTTTGTGTCCAGTCAATGATAGTTCTTGGCCAGAAACGTTTCCAATGGGTGCATGTTATCATAGGTCAGCTCGTGTAATGTGGGTGAACACAGGAGCCTGGTACCTAACAACTAAGACCTCGTCACCATGCCCATTCATCAACTCGACTAAGATGGCGGACAATAACAGGCGAGCGAGAAGCGGAAATATAAAGATCTGAAAGATGAACCCAAGAAGCATCTGTTAACTTCGAGGTCAGCAAAAAATGACATTTTCTTATGTTGTCACTCATTGTAAATTAATTTGTTTCTGTGAGACTAACCGACAGTTTATATTTGCAACAGAATTATTT